AACATCCAACACCACCAAAGTATGACCGTCCTCATATAAGGTACCATGATGACCTCAAGTCAAAGGACCAATTCCACTACCGAACGTTAGAGATTAACCACTAACACTCAGATAGTTATCCATGTGGAATCTCTCAGCAGGTCTCCAATATTTCGTTCTTCTAACAAGATATTCATGTGTCCATTTAAATGTCACTACATTTTAGTTTGTGAGATCAACTACTCACTTTACAAGTAAGAAATGTCACATATGCTGATCTAATCTTAATAACAATATTCGTATCTCGTTATTACTTACTGGGACTTGAATCTATATACTCTACTAATACAATTTACAGAATAATAATTCAATTAAATAATGGATCTTGCTATAAATAAATAATCATATTAAAACTATTTACAATCTAAATTGATTGAATTTAGGTCATAACACTTACACCATCAATCTTGGAGAAATGGGTAGGGAACAATATCAAACCTTCCGAATTTTAAAGAGATGATAAGCCTATTCTAATCTCAAACAACATTTGCTGAAAACATTAAGAAAGATATGCAACATGAATTCATCCCATAATCATATGTAAGAGATTTTATATATATACTCGAGTACTGAAAATGTGTAGCTATTAAAATTTGGCTTGCACCCCATGTCTTAAGTGACTAACGTCATTACCCCCACGTTGTCTCAACTTTGAATGAGCTACTAGAAAAGACAAACTTCGTGGGCTGTCTTGGAAATATTGTTACGACTACCATAGTCAATAAATCAATAATATAATATTCTACGTGAAAATAAAGGGCCAAATAAGCAGTCAAATTTCGAAGAGTTTTCGTGCAAAAGTTGGGGTTATAAAAATAAAGCTTTACAAAAAATCTTTCACCATAACATGCATAGTAAAAAATTCAAAGAAAATAACTCCATATGTGATGTGATTCTTTCCATGATTGACGTGGCATTCAAGTGGACTGTAATTATTTCAATATGTAACAAATTCTTCACAAAATTATGTTTGGTTGCCTAAGGAATCAAGATGATCAGTTATACTATTTGTACAATCATACTTGACGATATTGGCGTTGTCAAAACTCGGGTCATTGATTTAAAAAACAGTTTTTGAAATGGATGAATGTAATGTCGTCAAGTGTGAATTGTTAATCAATATTGTCGAACTAGATTGTGTATCCAGCAAGATTCAGAATAGGATATATGAACATGTATGTAGCGTAAATTAAAAAAACTAATTTTCTGTACGTGTATAGTACGCTAGGGTAAAGATGAAAATGAAACTTGAACATATCATATATCAAACGTTGAATTGAGGTCCTCCTCCGTTAAATACGTTGGGACACGGGACAGTGACGTGCTTCCCCACCTGCCCACGCGCGTGCGGACCCACCATTAAAAAACCCTAATTTTCTTGGAAAAAACCAGAGATCAAAGAAGGAACTATAAAGAAAAACATAAAACCTTAGATCCTCATATGAATACTTGAGCCTATTGAAACATAGAAAAGCCATATGTACCTTTCACAGTTTTGATTTTCTTGTGCAAAGTAGTTTCATTTTTCACCTGCTTTACTTTTTTCTTTTGCATCTTTCCTTTGTGTTTCTCCACTTGATGATTTATTAGATTTCTTGGTTTTAATATTTGGATCTCCTTCTTCTTCTCATCATCATTAACTCTCTCTCTCTCTCTAACTCTATCTGCGTGAAAAAGTAGAGGATAGATCTCATAAGATCAAGGAGAAATTTCTAATCAATTTCTGGGTTCAACTTTTCTTGCTCTGAGATGATCAATAAAGTGTGTGATTAATGTATGAATTTGATTAGTAAACAAAGAAAGTTACCAGAAAGGAAAGATCAACCAGTTATTTATCTTTTTCTTCATTTTCTTCTGCTCTAATGTTCATACCAGCATGAATCAGCTATCAATGAATCAAATAACTGGAGGAAGAAGCAGCGCAAGAGGCGAAGATGAAGATGAAGATGAAGATGAAGAAAGAGACAATGGAGTCGAGCCTACTGTTGAGGTAGGCACTCGCAGGCCTAGAGGACGGCCTCCCGGATCCAAGAACAAACTCAAATCACCTATATATGTCACCCAGGATAGCCCAAACGCCCTTCGCAGCCATGTAATTGAGGTTGCTGGAGGCGCTGATGTTGCGGAAAGCATAGCCCAGTTTGCACGAAGGCATCAACGTGGGGTATGTGTGCTAAGCGGTAGTGGATCAGTAGCCAACGTGACCATAAGACAGCCGGCTGCACTTAGTGCTGCCATGGTACTTCAAGGCAGGTTTGAAATTTTGTCCATAAATGGGGCTTTCTTGCCCGGTCCAGCCCCTCCAGGCTCGACTGGACTTGCTGTGTACTTAGCTGGTGATCAGGGACAGGTGTTGGGTGGAAGTGTTATAGGGCCACTTGTTGCAGCAGGGCCTGTTATGGTCATTGCTGCCACTTTTTCTAATGCAACGTATGAAAGATTGCCCCTCGAAGAAGAAGAAGATGACGCCGATGGATCCAACCAGGCTCAGGTACTTGGAAATTCACCTGGAATTGGAACCAGTGGAGGGCAACAGCAGCATGGGATGTCTGATCCTTCATCACTGCCAATTTACAATTTAACGCCGAATTTGTTACCATATGGTGGCCAGTTGACTCATGATGCCTATGGTTGGCCGGCACCACCGCGGCCTCCCTATTGATCCAGTAATCATAAGTGATAGTGGAGATCACCTTTGTTAATTCTGACTTATGGAAACACAAGCTACAAGAAGGCGACTATCATTATCTGAAAATAGGAAATGAGTGAAGGTAACTTGAAGAATCATGAATTCCATATTGTATTACATACAAGATAAGAAACTGGTTTATATATAGGGAATTTGTACTTGTAAAAAGAAAGCATTATGCTCTATGTATATTAAATTTCTTTTCCTTCTATCAAGTTTTGATTAAAAAAAATATATTTTCCCTCTATCATGTTTTGATTCAAAAAAATAATGTTTGCATAATACTTGGCTTCTTTTATTCCACTATTATATTACTACATGTAATATAGATATAAATATTTATCGCCCGGTGCTACTTGGTGCAACTCGATACATTTTAGTCGTCAATGATAACATAGTTTTGATCTAGACCTAATTATATATAAGATATGGTCCCTTACAATTACAATATTTAGAACTTCAAGATAAACTAGTTGATAGAACAACTTCTTCTCAAACACTTCTTAATTAATTTTCTTTAAGGGCTTATAAATTCATATTTTCATATCCTCACAAACTAGGGAGTCAAGTGTTTTAGTCTTGTAGGAGCAAAGAACCCATTGCTTTGCTATGTTGGCTTTGTTATCGGAAGCTATGGAAATTTCGGAATGGAAGAGCAATCGTTTTAGGGCGAGTTTACTATTTGAGATGTTTTCAACACTTTACTATTTGAGCAGAGACGGACCCAGCACCAAATCAGGGGGCGCGGCTACGCGTGCTGGGCTTCGTCGGACAGTCGGAGCAGTGCTGCAGATGGGAGTTTTGTCGGCAGCTTCCTACTGGTTAGTCTTCTTCATCCTTGCTACTTTTTTTTTT